ATTATTAAAATAATCATTATTTATCAGAAATATAGGATAAAGTAAAAAAAACGGTATACCCTGATTTCCCATTTTCAATGGKTTCAGGGTATAAAAAGTAAGTCTTAAGGCCAGACTTAACATAGGAATGCGCACAACAAAAATATAGAAATTGTCTAAATAAAATCAAGACAACAGGTTTTCAATTGGCTTTTGGTTTCATTTTCAATAATAAACAATGTGATTCCTTTGAACAGTGCCAGACAGACAAAACGTGGTAAAGATGATTTTTAAATAAATATTATTCAATTTGAGTGGGGCTTTTGTTAAAGTCGATGGGTGCGTCGCACGAGGCAGTAGGCGAATCATCAGCGTTTATGCATAATTTTCGAATACTCGTGAGTGCATTGATTCACGAAACTCACTCAGAAAACATGTTATAAAGCCAAGAGCTCAATCAAGTTTATTAGCATATCTGGCAAGAATTCTATTCAAATGCGACAAATTGTTGAGAAAGTCGCGTGACGAAGACGAGATACCCTAATACGGCATATGGGATGGATAGATTTTAGCATGGCAATTAGCTGTAGCTAATAAACAAATATTCGTAACTAATTGAATTCCAAATGTTACTCAATTTTTAATATCCTCTCTCTGTCTGCAGAGTATATAAAAATCAAGCTTACAAAGAATTTCATTCACTCTCGAGTATTTAGTGTAGGCTGTACCTGTAGCTTCTTACATTCGTTTGTATCTGTTCTCTATCTGTATCTGTATCTGTTTATGTATCTACGCATAACTTCCAGCTGGCTAGTTGGCTGTCTGACTGCTCCAGCAAATGGCTCGTTGATAATTTATATGTGTCGTCCGGCCCCCACAATCAAGTTACCAGCTCGCCTTTGTTTCTACACGCATTTTTATAGATAAACTGAGAACTGAGCACTGAGCACTGAGAACTGGGGAACTGGGAACACCACCAGCAAAGAGCAGCCAATTCAGTACGCTTTATTTCCGTTCATGTTGCCCACATCTTTTGATTTTCGGTTTAGAGCCAGGTTCGGTCTGTGTCGGTGTTTGTGTTTGTGTTTGTGTGTATCTGGCTGGCTTTACAGGCCACCTCACAATCTTACATATGTAATTGCAATTGCTGAGCGACTCACGACGCGACTTCGAGTCGCGCACCTTTTAATTTGTGCGGCATTCCGCAGCGCTCCCCTCTGCAGTGCCTTATTTTAATGTTGTGTAAAGTTCTAAGACCCCGATGTGAGCGCAACGGAAGTGCGTTCATTATTTTTAATGATTTTATTTAAGGAGCCGGAGCCATCGTCGAGTGAGTCCAACGAGCCTCGACTAACTACCTGCTACTACCTGCTGCTGCACTGCGGCACTGCTGCATGTCCCATGTCCCAAGGTTCCTTTGCCCGCCGCATTTGAATAGTTTTCCCAGGACAGGACAATCTTAGCACGCAAGCGGTCTATCCAGATGCTCAGCTCGGCATGTGGTGGGTTTTTCGTTTTGGGTTTTCTGTTATTTTTAGTGGACAGGAAATCGCATGGGTGTTATTCCTAGGGACCTCTCGAAATTCCGCCTCAGTCCCGGAGGCAATTAGTGACTGCGAGTCATCCAGCCAGTCATCGATGGCTGTTGGCCATTTATGCAAAGTATTTCGCAGATAAGAATGGGCACTCAGACACGATTTGGACGTAAACAAAGCAGTCGATGGCTGTAAACAGATTAGCTATTTGTAGACATATGACTTCATTGATCCAACAATTCCACATGACAACAGGTAGTTAGAATTGCGGTTCTCTTCAGTCAAGTCTCTCTCCCTCTCTCTCTCTCTCTCTCTCTCTCTCGCTCGCACTCTTTGTTGACCCAGCCATGCCCTCTGATCAATTAAGAGCCCTTAAGCCAAGCCGCAAATTGAGTTTGCTATAATTAAAAGCTGTGTACCCACTGCAACTGCAACTGTTCATATTGACAATTAGCAGCGACTTGCGAGACTTGAGCTAATTTTAATAATTGAATGCAATGGAAAAGTCTACAAGTTGACGTTGGGGTCTACGGAACTGCGCTCTAGCTACGTACATACATACGTACGTAGGTACGTCAGCGCATATATGTATGAATTATATTTTGATGCATATTTGCGGCATCGCACATTGACATTCAGTCCGACTGTCAGTCAACTTTGACCGCAGCAAATGCACAGGCCGGATAACAATTGTTGAGTTCAACGCGATGCGCATGAACGTCCCTGACTGCCAAGAGCCCAATTGTGGTGCTCGGTGGGGTTGGGTGGGGCCATATGCTGCACTGCACTGAGTCGGGCTGAGCTGGGCTGGGCTGCCAAGCCACTCACAATTATAAGCGCAAACAAAACAACAGAGCTACAAAACGTTGCATGACAAGACAACAACAACAACAACAACAACAATTGACAGTTGCATGTTTGCAGTTTTATTTCTTGAGATTTTTTTAATTCCGCTGACGTTTGACTCACGATATGGCCGAGAGCGCGCTTTAGAGAGCTCCGCAGCTGTATGAAGAGATCAGCTACTGGGACTTGATTGTTATGCATCGATTTACATATACAGAAAGCCGCAGCTCAAACTGATAGATGGATAGACAAAAGTCATTCAGTCAGTGATCATCATGATGATCATGAGCAGCAGCATCATCATCGAGTTAGCTGCTTCTTCATTTGAATCAATTAAACCTGATGCTGTCTATGCATGGGTGTGTGTGTGTGTGTGTGTGTGTGTGAGTCAAGCCATATTCATAATCGTATTCATACTCGCATTCGTATTCGTTTTTGTTTTCGTTTTTGATTCCCCAGCTACTGCTGCAGTTGATTGATCATTGACTGTATGCCGCGCCTAAAGTCACAAAATTCCATGAATTTTATTATAAAATCAGCTTTTCATAAAGGTCTACGATGTCTACTACTCACACACACGCACACGCACACACACAACTCAACATCAAAGGTCAAAAACACCGCACACAAGAGAGACCATGTGAAACCAGTTCAACTCCAACTCCCATTCCAACTGCAACCCCAACTTCAACTTTAATCCGAATGCACTCCAATTTCGATTTCAGTTTTCATTCGGCCTGCAGGTTCTTTTAATTCCTGGATAGGGTCTTTTCTGGATTTGTGTTATGTGTTAATACGTCAGCTGAAACAGGTCTGGGCTCGGCTTAGAATTGTTGTGGCTGTCTAGACCTCCAGAATTAACGGCCATTTTGATATCTCAGATAATGCTCTAACGCTTTGTTGGAAAATTTTAAT